TGAATGGTTCAGTGCATAATTAAGTAACTCATATATTTTTTCTCATAAATGCATTATGAATCTCTTAAATGAATTGTTCATTCGTAAGACTGCAGCATTATATATATATATATATATTAGAGAAAAACAATTCTATATATTTATATTTCCACTCTATATTAGAAGTCCCTGCAGCAGACAGAGAAAAACACAAGTCTGTTGTTACGTGGTGCACTCCAAAAACATATGAATATTAAATCTATTGTAATAGAACTGTTTTTTTGTTTTTTGTTTTTTATACAGTATCTTGATTTCTGCAATGTTTGAATGGGAATTAATGGGAAAATATGTTAGTTTTTTTGCCTGCAGATCAGCTAACTGCTGAAGCTTACCAGCCAAACCCTTACGCAACAAAAATATATTTCTCAATATATTATGTGACAATATATTTCATGTGTCTCCATATATTGTGAAATTTACATTGTAATATATCATATGATATATTATATAATAATATATTATATATATGCAATAATATATTGCAATATATGGGACAATACTGCAATTATTGCCGTTTTCATATATTGAATAAATACATATTATTATACTATTTAATATATTGTTAGGTATATTGAAATATGTCCCATATTATATGAAATTATATATTGGAAGAGGCATTGTATATATGTGAAAATATATATGTAAAATTATATGAGCTAATATACCTCAATGTACCAGATAATATAATCAGATATATATGCAAACATGTCTTAAATATGTTGAAAAATATATTGATTTATATTACATAATATATTATATATAATTATCATATTATATATTGTATACAATAATTTACCATGTGGGGGAATAAAAAGTGGACTAAAAAATGTTGTAATTGTTGCTGTTAATGATAATTTAATTTATACTCTCATCTACATTTTACAATATATGGCCGGGACTCGATTAAAAAAATTAATCTAATTAATTAGAGGCTTTGTAATTAATTAATCGAAATTAATCGCATTTTAATTGCATAAATATTTGACCTGAGAACAGTGAGAAGTAATTTTTTTCACATGGATTTTCAGTATACTATTGAATAATGACTGAATACATAAGCTTAATCAACAACATAGTTTATTTTTGTTCAACCAAGTCCAGCAGACCAGTGCAATTTTTGCCATTAAGTGTCCAGCAGACCAGTACAATTTTTGCCATTAAGTGTAGTAGCATATTGCTACACTACACTAATAGCAATAGCGAATTCCTTGTTGCATTGCACACAACCATGCTCTTATCGACGCTTCCATCCATTCGCTTTTTATAACAAAAATTCCCACCGGCCAACCAAAGCGATCTAGGCGATCTATGAAGCAAGCGATCTCGTCAGCTTCTTCATCATGAACGCTAGTTGGTGCGCCAGTATAATCGGTCCGCCGAAACTCATCCAGTGAGAAACGTTCCGCGGTGCAAAACTAAGTGTGATTAAAATAATTTGTGTAATTAATTAACGCGTTAAAGTCTGTAATTAATTAATCTTAATTAACGCGTTAAAGTCCCGGCCCTAGAATGGTCCATCCATATGGCTATATAATGTAAAATATAATGAATGTCATGCAAAAATTTGATTTGGACTATTGTTAATCAACCTTTCTGTAAACCTATGCATGAGCTTACTTAACTCATAAAAAAAATACTTTGTTTCAATAAACATACATGCAATAATGTAATACAGTTTTGTTTGTATATCAATGTATTTTAATATATGAATCAATATATAGCAATAGGTTGTCCATCCATATATTGTTATATATTTTCAAATATATGAGGCAGTTTCTGATATATTGAAATATATTTTCTAATGTATTGCAATATAAATTCTAGTATATTGCAATATATTTTTGTTTCGTAAGGGAACAGTAAACACCTGTAAACAGCAGAAAAGAGCCAGAAGCTGCTCCCCCTTTTTTTTTGTCAATCAGAAAGTACTCTTTTCCTGTCAATATTTTTGCAATGTTCTGGTGGGTGTGGATTTTATAAAAGGCCTTTTGATTAAAGGAACCGTTTTAAGTCTAGTGTAAATTAGCAAAATGTATGAAATTGCACAGTAACTTTTAGCAAGCAAGCCTGTTTAAAACCACTTTAAACCACTATGTTTGAGCTAGTATCACTTCAACACGTATGCAAAGCTCTTTGAATGATATCTTCTCAGTGCGAATGAAAGAAGGAAGATGCTTGTCTTGGCATAGTAAGGTGGGACGTAATACATTTTTACTGTAGTCTTGTCACTTATTTTCTCGCTCATCAGCAAAGACTGTATTAGAAAGGCTCGATGTGAGTCAGCGAATTTAGTCTTTTTACTTCCCGATAAAGTCTAATTAAGCTAAAAGCTTTACTGGCTCAACTATCCTTTCTTCTTCTTTTTCTTTTCTAAACCTGTAACGCCTACCTTCCTGTCTCGCCCCCCTAAGAAGCGGGCCAAGGGGGCAAGAGAGGAAACCTGGCACTAATTGGACACCCCCTGTAATCTCTGAGCCCAGAATAAGATGAAAGAGACACCTGGTTTGCGTGACCTATACTCAGCGTTTTGGCTAAGATGGTGCGTGACTCAGCTCACATTTTCTGCCCGAGTGCATTTGCAGGCGAAGCCAACATTTGAGAAACTTTCAGTTCTTGGAAAGTCACTGATTGGCTTCTTGGAATTTGGTGAAGATGATAGAAGTTGGCCAGTTAGCAGAGTAGAATTAGATTAAAGTATGAAATCACACCATGTTGCTACTTTCTGTTGCCAATATGCGATACTTTTTTTTTCTGGTGCTTTTGAAAGCAGTTTCTTAAGTCAACTTTACTACTTTGTAATTTAGCTAATGCTTTTTACCCAGATTGGCATACAGCACAGTTATCCCAGGGGAAATCCGTCTAGAACAACTTGGGAAAAGTGCCTTGCCCAAAATTGAAGTTTCTTTAATGGTTTTTGTAGCACCTTAGGTACAACAAACCATTGATAGTTGCTACTATAACCCACTGTTGCTATAGTTTATGATTCTTTGGAGATGATAATGTTACACTGTAAAAAAGAATTATATGATCAATATGTTATTACATCTCTTAAACTCATCAAAATAAGTTCAGTAATTTTCAACTGTTTTATGTTATACACGATACAACTCATTTTAATGTAATTTAAGTTGAAATGACTTAAACATGCAAGTTGATTGTACTTAAAATTTAAGGCATTTTTTACAGTGTATGATCAATTTGGACTCTGGAATCATTAAAGCACCCGTGTGTAAATGGTTTTCTAGTTAAATATAATATTTAAAAAACTCAAGTTACTGCAAAAAAATCTCTATTTCTCTATCATTTATTCTCTTAAAATTAAGTCTTAAAGTCCCACTGAATTGTATCTCTTAAGTCTTAACTCATCTTTGATCACCAAAATGAAAATTTTTCCTTGAAAAGAAATTTCTTCATGCCTTGAATGTAATAGCTTGAATGTAACTCTGCATCCTTGCCTCATTTAGTATACACGGTTCCATGATTATGCAAATTAACCACACCTCCAGCTCACAAATCCACTCGTTGATGTGATTGGTTACAAGGTAGTTTGTGACGTCAGAAACACCAGCGATTTCAAACCACGTCTTTTTTTCACTGCAGTTTTAAAGCTCCAGTAGGGAGTTTTGAGAAAACGTTGACTTAGCCTGAAAATTTGAACGAGCACAACTTACAGGTCCCACCCCCTTGCTCTCTGCTGCGCTACAGCCCTTCCTTCTCAGCTCTTCCTCCACAGCGGAGCCTGTCGTGAACGCGCAGGCTAGTAAACAGGGCCACCGATAACAGCGGATAAAAAGTTATATGGCACATTCACTAATAGGGACTAAACGTCAATAATATGCTTTACATTGACTATGGCCTGCCCATACTTTGACTACAAACTTGGTCCTCAAATCATTATGTATTTTCCAATAGCCTACATGTAATTTTATAACGTTGCACTCTTTCTATGAGTTATAAATAGCTAGTAAGATAACGTTAATATAACGGTAACTAACGCTACAGTATGTAAGTAATTATTCTAGCGATATATAATGCTAGATACGGTGTGCTAGTACATTATTTCAGCAACATGACAAGCCAGTGAATTAGCAGGTTTCAATTGTTGCTTAGCAGAGTGCGTGACATTTTATCTACATGTTATGCGGCTAGAGTTTTGACACCGAGTCAATGGGCTCTGTGTAATTCTTTCTTTTTCGCTTGTTTATCGTCATCAGTCTTTTTCCTTTTACCTCTTTGTTTTATGAGCAGGTGTCACTGGAGAATTTGCAGTTTAGGTTGTTTCTCCGTCATAAGCACAGCTGCAGCTCGCCGGCAATCTTGAGTTTGAACGACGGCTCGCGCAACGCGCTGTGCAAGAGAGGGGTGTGATCAGCGCGTACACGAGCGTGAATGACACTGCTAAGACATTCCTCCTGGCTCTGATTGGTTGTTTCTGACCGGGAGCATGTATTTCTTGCAAATGGCAATAAGACCACTGGGAGGAGCCAGAGGAGCTTGATTTTTACACAGATTATCTGTCTCATATTCTACTGTCAGGACATAATGACAGTTTTAGCAAATACATGTTTTCAAAAGTTACCTACAGGAGCTTTAAGGAGAAAATACTCAGCAATGTTGACTTATGAATTTGCACATGGTTTGTCTTAAAGCATAGACATATAAACAACATTAAATGCTTGATTTTCACCACAGGGGGACTTTAATATTTTAAGTGATGTTGCTTTGCACTTTTAAAGGGAAATTTGAACTTGAACATTTTAGATATGTTTGTACCTGGGAAAACAAGTCAAAAATCGACTAACTAAAAACCCATGCAGTGCAATGGTGGCAGCGGGTTCACAGTCACACCTGCAACACTTGGTTACCAGCCCAGATTTTTAAGCATCAGTATTCTCAGCACACTCAGTTTTGTTGTTTGCTGGCATCTTTGATCTGATCACTTCTCTCTCTCCGGTCTCCAGGTTATGGTCACGCGGCTCCGGGCACGGATGCGGGAAAGGCGTTCTGCATGTTTTATGCCGTGCTGGGGATTCCTCTCACGCTGGTGATGTTCCAAAGCCTCGGCGAGAGGATGAACACCTTCGTCAAGTACCTGCTGAAGCGCATCAAGAAGTGCTGCGGGATGCGCATCACGGACGTCTCCATGGAGAACATGGTGACCATGGGGTTTTTCTCCTGCATGGGAACGCTCTGCATCGGCGCGGCAGCTTTCTCCCACTACGAGGACTGGAGTTTCTTTCAGTCCTATTACTATTGTTTCATAACACTCACCACCATCGGGTTTGGGGATTTTGTGGCCCTGCAGAAGAACAAAGCCTTGCAGAGAAAACCCGTCTACGTGGCGTTCAGCTTCATGTACATCCTAGTGGGGTTGACGGTCATCGGGGCTTTCCTCAACCTGGTGGTACTACGTTTCCTGACCATGAACAGCGAGGACGAGCGACGGGACGCCGAGGAGAGAGCTTCCCTGGCGGGGAACCGCAGTAGCATGATCATCCACATCCAGGAGGACACGCTCCAGAGGAGTCGACGGAGACGAGAGCAGCAGCAGCACCGCTTCAGGCCAGAGGTCACCGATCTCCAGTCCGTTTGCTCCTGCATGCACTACCATTCGCATGAGTTCGGGAGCTCTGTCGGTCTCGGGTTGGGAATGGGTGGAGGAGGAGGAGGAGGCGGCGGCGCGTTTCCGCACCAGAACTCGTTCGGCTCTCAGTTGAGCCCCCATCAGTACCATCACTACCACTCGACGGTGTCCTACCGCATAGAGGAGATCTCGCCGAGCACGTTGAAAAACAGCTTCCTTCCCTCCCCCATCAGCTCCGTCTCACCCGGGCTCCACAGCTTCACAGAAAACCTCCGGCTCATGAGACGACGCAAGTCCATCTGAGGAGCGGCGGCGCCCGGTAACTCATCGCCCGAACACACATTTCCAATGCTGCTGCTCTACCAAACCTCATTCCTGCACTTTTTTCGACATTCCCTGGCCCTTGCGAGATGACGAGGGATCACGCGAGCAGGACGCTTGAAAGTTTGATGGATATATAAGAACTTCTTAAAAAAGCATGAAGCATGGATATCTATTTTTGCAGAAAACTTCACCTGGGCCTTCTTTGCCCTTTTGAGCAGCACCTGAGCGCGGGTTTGGATAAAATAATACCACCCTGATATCTTATCAGACGATTTGTGTTTTGAATAATACAAAGGGAGAGATATATATATAATTTTTTAAGGAACATGTGAAAATGTGTTTTATCAAACGGTGAGCAGCCTCTGGTTCTTTCTTAAGATACAAGTGCCACACCAACGAAGAGGAAATAACGATAAAACTGATTTGAAAAGGACTACACAGTATCAGGTATTGTTTTCTATAAGCAATTCTATTTAAGAAGAATAAGACATTGATTCACATCATGCCAAAATATTGTTGCCAACCATAGCATGTTGTATTTGTTGTTTGATGTGCGTCATCATTACCGTTAACTTTTTGTTTAGTTGTTTTTTTTTTCCCTTGTTTTTGTTCGTTTAATTTCAATCAAAAGTTTTCTGTAAATTATACATGTGTGTAGAGACTTTCCAAGTGCGTTATATTTAGAGGTGACAGACGAGAGACAGCAAAAGTCGGTCCTGAGAAGAGAATAATTGCATGTGCTTTGTTCAAACTGGTATGCGTATACGGTTTACGAGGCGAAGCGGTAGCTACTTTAGCTCTGGATTCAATTTAAAAAGCAAATAACCCTTTTAAAAGTACTGTTTGAAATGAAAGTTGAACAACTGACTCCAAAACATCCACTAAAACTGGGCCTCACAATGGGAACGTTTACGGCATCGCAAATGATTGTTTTTCATCGGGATTTATATAAAAAACAGCACGTTGACTCGACTATTATTCCATTGTGAACAATCAATGTATAATGTATGCTTACCCTAGCAATGATTGCTTTTCTCTCAACCATTTATTTGAATGAGACTTATTTAAATGCATCAATAAAGACAGTTATTTATGTATTTTACACTTTGATTATGTCTTGAGAAGGATGCCCTGCAAATCAGATGGTACCTCATAGGCCTAAAATTGCTCTGACGTTGATTGAAAAACATAGTGCACCTCTTTTAGGTGAACGGTCAGAATGTAATCAACAGTTCTCATTCGCTGCTTGTGCTAGGGATTGTTTTTGTTCACTAGCCGAATTGCATCTCTGATATAACAGCAATCATGTCACTTTCCAATTTTAAACTAAATCTTTTACTGGGTCTAACTGTTTCCTGAATATAATATATATAAGTATCTGCGTCACAGTTAGGATCATCCAATAAACCAGAGTTGGAGTCAAGACCAAACCCTACAAGACCCAGACCATGACTTGACCCCTCGAGGCCCAGACCAATACCTCTTCAAGTATGAGTTTGTCCAGTTTAATGGAGAAGATGCTGGATTTATCACAGCATTCACTTTGTACAGTTATTTACACTTTGTACAAATATTGCTTATTTTCTGGAATCATACCTTGTTGAATTTGGCTGAGTATCACCTTTTAGTAGGAGGCCCTAAACTAAGAACTAAGACTTAGAGTAATGCAACTCAGGCCACGTTTATGTGGTTTTGATGGGTCTCAAGATCAAGACTCCAACTCACAATAACTAGACAATAATATTAGACAATAACTAACATCACAAACACTGGCTAGTAGGAATTTGTGAAATTGACATGTGAAGGCCAAGTTTGGTAACCCATACTCGGAATTTGTCCTCTGCATTTAAACCATCCAAGTTAGTGAACACACATTAGGAGTAGTGAGTAGTCAACACACACACACACACACACACCCGGAGCAGTGGGCAGGCACTCACTCAGGCGCCCGGGGAGCGATTGGGGGTTAGGTGCCTTGTTCAAGGGCATCTCAGTCATTTCCTGCTGGTATTAAGAATTGAGCCCGCAACCTTCGGGTTACCAGTCTCACTCTCTAGCCATTAGACCACAGCTGGGTATAGAATGGGTATATGAGTTTGTTTGGATTAACGGTTCCATTACTTGTCTTTTTTTTGTGTGTGTGCATTTTCTTGATTTCAATTTCATTTCACCACCTCATTTTCAATTGAGAGTTTGTCTCTAATTTTACCTCTGTGAAGCAAATAAATCAGAAGCAGTCAGGATGGTTAGTTTTTATCTAAAATCCAGGATTCTTGGGCAGGCGACTGGTAATAGATTAGGTGAAATGTGACACGAAAAGCATGAATTGGTTATTAAAAAAAATTGCCAAAGGCTTTAGGTGGTAAGTGTCTTTCGGCTTGGAACCCTGTTGATGTTTTCTTGGAAAAATAAATCTTGAATAATTGTCTTGATGTGGATCACTGAGGGATGGAAAGCCCAAAAGTGCCCACCAAAGTAATTCGGTTTCAGACAAGACTAATTAATGAGAGAAATTCCAGAGGGACTCAGTTGCTCCCATGCACTCTTTTAGTCAATTTCCGAGTCTGCCAGCGGGAAGTGTTTCCAGGCTCAAACAGCGCACCCTTCTAATACCAATCAACTTGACGTCTGACATTCTGGATTTCACAGCATATGTTGCAGCACTCATGTAAATTTATGTAAATCGCTACCATTTTATAATATTGTACAGTGCATATATTGTAAGTAGTTATATCCTTGACAAATTAAAAAGGCATATTTTAAACTCAGATGCATTCCCATTTTTACAGCATTCAGCATACTGTATTATGTGCCTTGAAGGGGGTATCTTTAAAATGTGGAGTTTGTATTTCATTAAGGCACATACTCAAATACATATTCAGATATAGAAGAAAACAAATTAAAACACTTTGTCAAAAAAAAAAAGCTCCCCCATGTATCCATATGGGAAAAAATACAAGTTACATCAAATAAAACCAAAGCAACTAATCCTCATAAATGCCGCCGCCGCCACACAAACATATATTTTAACATAAACACTGTCTGAAATACGTTCTCTGTTTCACTAGCACAACAACAAAAAGCATTATTTTCCACTTTTTATGGTTGTCACATTAACCTATGTATGTACATGATGGTTTCTGGGGTCAGGGCAGAATAATATGTATTTTACATTAATAAACTGTTCTTGCATACACTATATAATAGCCTGATGACAAATACTCAGACAGATAAGCTTGTATGTATGAAATGGATGAAATGTAATAACTTTATGACTGGCAACATATCTACTGCTATGGGTGGGCAGTGACATAAATAAAATGTGTATCAAAACAGTTCTGTTTACTTAAATAAATAAATAATAAACTGCAAATATCTTCTTGATATTATTATAGGGGCGACAGGAGTTAATATGATGATATAGCAACTAGCCATGGTCTCCCCTATACATAATTTAATTGACAATATATGTTTTTTTTTTTTTTGTGGCTGTCAGCAGAGAAACAAACAATTGTTGTGACCATCTCTTTTTCATTTGTTTACTCTCAACTACTATATATTTATCTTAATGCTTGAGGAATATTGCATTTTCAAATCAGTCTGTCCACCCACAGCAGTGTGATTCACGCTGCCGAATAAATATGATTATTCACAATAATCATCATGTTGCTCTATATTAATTTCTACAGTAATCTCTTTCGGCAATAGCATCCATTATTGAGGGATCTTTAAAGATCCCACTACATCAAATAATCTGTGTGACCCTCTCTGACTAAAGAAGGGAATCCGTCATGATACGGATTCAATGTCCGGACTGTCAGAACAACATATTGTTTTGCCTTTATTGGGAAAACTTGCAATGGGCATTTCAATTTATTTGTTTGTCTTATTTGTTGTGTGTGCATGACATATTGTGGCCGGCTGACCTCTTGACCACATGACTGGGGTGAATTAAAAATTTGAATTAAAAAAAATATCAACTTCCTTCTTCTCTTACCGAGTGCTCTCTGATTGGCAGTTTCTGTATCACATGGCAATCTGCATAAACACACATTCATTGGTTTTATTGGTGACAGAAACTTTTTATTGGGTTTGTGTCACTTTTTTATTTTTTAAATGTCTATATAGTTTATTTTTTTATTGTCAACCCGCTGTAAAAAAAGTTGCTGCCTTAAATTTTTAAGTACAATCAACTTGGATGTTTAAGTCATTTCAACTTAACTTACATTTAACTGACACTAAATTAAAGAATTAAAGTCAGTTAAATGTAAGTTAAGTTGAAATGACTTAAACATCCAAGTTGATTGTACTTAAAAATTTAAGGCAGCAACTTTTTTTACAGCGGGTTGACAATAAAAAAATAAACTATATAGACATTTAAAAATAAAAAAGTGACACAAACCCAATAAAAACTTTTTTTATAAGTTATACAAGAAAAGTTAAAACTTATTTTGATGAGTTAAAGCAATGCTAAAACATATGTTGTCATAACTTATTAATCATTACATTTTTTAACAGTGACATTTTTATTTTAGTTATAGTACAAGTTACAACCAAAAATTAGAAATGTCAGTTGGCTGAAACTAAAAAAATATATATATTTATTTTTACTTTAAAGTAACGATTTTTATGGGGTTTTTTGTTAATAATAACCATATATATAGATGCACATACCACTTCATACTTGCACCGACTAACAAAATCAGCATTCACATCTCTGCACATGACTTTTTGACAGCTACTGTTTGCAAATAACCATGTTGCCAAAGTCTTTTTCTGTTTCCAGTTTCCTGTGTTCCCATATGTGCCGTCAATAAGCGTGCAGAGCGTGCTTTCTCTCTGGGCCCAAAATTAGTCTGTTTTCTCAGTGCATGATGGGAGGTGAAAGGTGCTGTATCACACCACACAATCCTTCCCACCTTATCTCTCACATCAGGCTCTCTTCAGCAGCTGTCGAAAGGCATGTAGGTGTCATTTGC